CGATTGTCTGAGCTCCTCACAAATTTATCGGTTGGTGCTTCCTCCAGCTCACGAGAGTTTTCACGAGCTCCTCTCGCGTCTGCATTTGTAAAGTGAGGCTTGTACATTGAAAATATAGTGCTTATATGTATTAACATTTTCGTAACTGAAAATTGATTATACTATTTATGAGATTTAAGGGGATGATTGGTCACGGAGGTTATGGCGAAATTTATTATGCCATTGATGTCCGCAATCAAGAGGAAGTAGCAGTTAAAGTTGAGCCAAGAAAGAGGAAAGGCCGAACCGTTAAAAGAATGATTTTGGAGCAAAAAGTAAACTCTTGCTTACGCTAGCTTATTAATCAAGCAATCAGCGAATATTCAGGTTATGCTGCGGCTGCAAGGAAGACCTCACATACCAAAGATGATAGCCTCTGGTCACGATAACAAGATCAACTTCATTGGTCAGCTCTTATTTCGACGATGCAGAGAAATTGAAAATTTACTTGCAGTGATGCAGTTGCTGAGCGTTAATGTAGGAGATCTCAAAAAGGCCAGCCCTGTACGCCGCCTAGGAAGGAGTAGTGTGGGAAGAATTCTCCAACAAGTCTGTACACTCTTTCCTTGGTTTTTACTTCAAGGGCAGTGTCCGAGCAAAAAGTCGATTTTGTGACTTAGCGGTTGACCGGGCAAATTCGCTATGCTGATTCTGAAAATGCATACTGGAGAGCGCAAAAACGCCGGAAAAAGCTCTAACGCAGAAAGCGGAATTAGCGGGTGGGCGGGGTCTTCCCCATTGTGAGGTCATCCAGCTTGCGGAGCACTGTTCTTGATTCCGCTGTAACCCTGACACCGCTACATACCAAGTGCAACGTGTGACTTGTCGGAACCGAAAAGATTGCTCCGAAGGTAGTAACATGAATTTGCAGAAGAGAAGACCTCGCCCACCTGCTGATTTCCCTCCAGCTTAGAGCACTTTCTCGCCGTTTTCGCGCATGTTCATTTTCGGATTCAGAATAGCGAATATTCTGATGATCACAATATCTCAGTATCGACTTTCTGAACAAATTCGGATCCAACGCATAAGAGAAAAGCATAGCCGCTCTTCCAACACATTGACGACCGCTTGACGCACCATGTGTGTCAAGCAATGAGTGCCACATGGGACCGCTTGACACACACTGTGTGTCAAGGCTTGAACTTCGTTAAAATGACGAATTGTCTTGGTACAAACTCATTTCAAGACTTTTCTTTTGCTGTGAATCTAGAAATGACCTCTGTCTTCTTTGTCAGCCTTTTACAGCTGCTGTAAGTATACTGTAGATAACAGTAGACTTAAATTTATCTGAAAATACTGGCTACTCCGTGAAAAGTCTTTGACCCAAGAGGCAGACAAAAAAATTCGGCGAGGTCGTCAATGTGTCAACGATGAGTCGAGTTACGATGAGTTGCTCCGAAGGTGGTAGCATGAACTCGCAGTGGAAAAGACCTTGCCCACCTGTTGATTAGTTAGGCAACGATTAGGTTGGGTTCACATTGATCCTTTAGTTCCGACACAGTTCCAACACAGCGCTCGAATTGCACAGCTGTGCTGGAACTGTTCCCGGACTTACGGATCAGTGTGAACCTAGCCTTATGTTTGCCAGCGATTGAATTAACAGCTGTTATTTCAAGGCTATCGCTGGCCTTAGAGACATCCACCTTGGTGGCTATATCCACAGAGATGTGAAACCAGCCAATATGTGTTTTGGATTGACATCTCAGGTTCGATGCACGATTAATTTTTGAATCTTTCACTAAGAATTACTTTTAGACACGCCATGTGCTGGTTATAGTCGACTTCGG